CCACCCCCATCCCATCGCTAACAGGAAGGCCGGGTCCCTGGCCCACAGGTGGGTCTGCAGCAGGGGTCTCAGCCTGTCCTCCCAGGTGACCCAGGATGGCAACCCCAGGAATCTCAGGGCAACTCTTCCCATCCAGACAAGGCCTCAGCTTCACACTCTAGTACCAGCTCACACCTGCCCAAAGGTAGACCCCCCCCAACAAAGTGCTGCCCTGCTGGGACTCCTAGATGCAGCTCAGTGACATCTGAGGGAAACTGAGGCAGGAAGATGGGGCAGTGATCTGCTCAGGGACACGTGGCACAGAAGAAACAAGGTAGGAACTTTCTTTTCCTGGCCCTGTCTGGCCTCCAGGGGGCATCGCCTTTCCTTTGCCGCCTGTCTATGCAGTTTGCCACCCTGTCCTGGCTGAGGGGCTGAGGCTCAGCTCACTACTATCTGGCTCATGCTCTGAGGCCCAGCTGCAGTCCTACCTCTTCCGGGTAGCCCTCCCTGACTGCCCACGGCCCATCAGAGTTCCCCTTTCCCTGGGTAGTGTGGATGTTATCTTGTGGCCACCTGGGCACTCTGCTGAGCTTGGCCCAGGGGGCTGATGAGGGACACAGGCAGTCCTTGATTTCTGGAGTCCAGTGTCCTTCCTCACCCCCTTGCACCTGTAGGCTCTCAAACCAGGCCTGGACTTGAGGTGTGATGTCGGCCTCTGACCTCTGGGCTTGCAACCCGAGGGCTACTTGTGCAGTGATCCTCCTGCCTCAGCCTCCCAAGGGCTAGGATTACAGATCCTGCCTCAGCTTGCCCAGATTGTAGGCTGAGGTAAGTCCTGCCAGCACCCAGATAGCCACTCCACTCCCCGCCCTGCAGAATCCAGGCTCGGCTGTGTCCAGCCTTTGAGGTCCCCAGGAGCTGAGTGCAGAGACCCCAGGAAACCCAGGAACGCATATGCCTCCCCTTCGCAGGGTACCCAGGCTGTCATCCCGTGGGCTCTGTGATCTCGGCCCAGTGGGGCTGGGCTCTCCCCTTTCCTCCATGATCATGAGCTGCAGCGCACAGGGCTGAGCCCACAGACCTCCCAGGAGCACACCAGATCCTATGCCAGGCAGTGGGACACCACAGGGAAAACTCAGTACAGCCGCAGATAAAACTGGACCCAATTCTGTACCACCAACAGCTCTAGGACCCTAGCTAAGTGTCCTAACCTCTCTCTTCTGAGTTTCCACACCTGCACGATAGGATAATCCCAGTGTCACTGGGTTGTCCCTGGCCTTGAACAATGTACTTTGTGACTACCTGACTTGTGTCGACTAACAAACAGCAGCTCAGAGAGGCAGCGAAATTTATCTAAGGTCACATAGCAGGTCGGTGGTGATAGAAAAGGACAGTTCCGGGCGGGCCGCCTAGATGATCCCCCTCTGGGCAGGAATGAGAAGCAGGCCTGGGACTATTTCCAGCCCTGGGCTGGGGTGGGGTGGTGGGGCGGGCAGGGGGGGGGCTGTGCATTCTCAGCTGGCTTGCAGACTGACAGGCTCTTCACTTGCGCCTGGAATCCCAGTCCTGCACGCCCACGACAAGGCGGGGCTGGAGTCCGAGCTGGCCTAAGCACCTGGCCCTTGCAGCCAGCCCCTCCCTACCCACGTTTCCTGACAGCTGACAGGGGGGCGGGCTGCAGTGCACAGCCAGCCCCTGGGGCTGTCCTAGTGCTAAGCAGTGGCTGGGTCCTCTCCTGGGCACCCCAGATGCACCCACCCCAACCCAGCTCTGTTTAAGACCTCGCCAGCCACGCCTCTCCCCCAGGAACCACGGCCCACGTACCCAAGGCTTGGGTCAGTCCCAGCCTGCACCTCCATCTGTGACCGCCAGCAGTTTCGACTTTGCAAAGAGGTTAAATCACTCATCTGAAGCCACAAAGAAAGGAGTGCCAGTGCTGGAAACACCCCAAGCCAGGCCAAGCCTGCATCCCTAATCGTGGCAGTGTGCTCTCATTTGCCCATCTGAAGTGTCTGAGTGCTTTTCTTTTTTAGATAAGGTCTTGCCGCATAGCCTGGGCTAATGCTGAACTCACTACACAGCACCAGCAGCCTCATACTTGCGATCCTCTGGCCTTGGCCTTCTGGGTGCTGGAATTACAGGCCTGCATCACCATGCCTCGTTTGAGAGCCTTTCACAAAGAACAGCTCGTCACATCCAGATGTGATGCCCCTCCAAGCCCCATGCAGCCTGCTGGATTTGGAAAAGAACAAAACACCAGGTCACCGAGGTACACAGGATGGCAGGCAGATGGGGGAGGCTGGAAAATAACTGAAGCCTCTGTCACACTTGTCCCCAGCACACCTCCTTATCTGCAAGAGAATGGCAAACGTGCCTCGGATACTGGGCCAGGTCTGGGCCCCAACAACCACAGGGGCTTCTTTGGGGACCCCTCCCACTTGAAGGCCTTCATGGGAAGGAAGGAGGGGAACCAATCTCAGGGTGTAGCATAGTTCAGAGGCACCAATTCTGTCCCTGCCGCGTCCTGGCTGGGAAGCTCCACTGGGGCCTCAGCCTCCTGATCTGCAAGGTGGTCACCCAGTTTCCTAATCTTGAGGGAAGTTGCTGGGTTAAAGAGCACAGGCACTGACACCCTGTGGTCCAGCTCTGAACCACCGAGTAGGTGGCCTCGAGAACCTCCCTGAGCTCGTGTGCCTCAGTTTCCCCACTTGAAATGGTGCACTAAGATCTCCCTCTTGGGGAGTTCAGGAAGGTGGTAGGCAACCTGAGGAGATGGGAGTTCCAAGGGTGGGGGGTCAGGGAGCCCCCAGGAGTCAACCTGGGTGGAGCAGTGGGAGGAAGGGACAGAAACGACAGACTCCACCCACTTGGGGTGGCCAGTGGGGTGCCGGGTGGACTTAGTGAAGGGACAGAGCCTCTGACACCCATAGCAGCCCCACAGTACCCTTTCACCCATGACTCAAGGGTGCCAGGAAGCTTCCAGGGGTCTGCAGGGGAGGAAGCAAGGGCCCAGGGAGGGTAAGGGTGTACGCATGGCCAGTCACACGACTGCCCTCAGTAGCGCCCCCAGAGCTATGGCTTGGCTGGGCCTAGAGCTGCTTGGGTCCCTGGGGGCTGCTGGAAGTTGCAGGTGACAAGCTTCGACCCCAACCTGCTCCTGCTCCCTGGAACACATCCCCCCTGTGTGCACCTCAGTCCATGTGTCCGCGAGCATTCCCGTGTACAGTTCACTTCCTGATTGTGCATCTGTGAGCACACATGTACATGTGCCAGTGTGCACACATGTGACCCTCCTGAGTGACACCTGTGCATACATGTATGTGACGGAGTGTGTCTTGCTATATGTATTCCAGGCGGGCCTCAAACTTGCAGTCAACCTCCTGCCTCAGCCTCCTGAATGCTGGGATTACAGGCGTGAGCCACCACACCCAGCTATGTGTCTAGACTTTAAGTGAGAACCAGGCCAACATGCAGGACGGTGCCACCCAATTCATTTTCTTCCCTATGAAAATCTCAGCCCTCTCAGATTTTCTAGGCCATGACCTGTTACGACTCCTCCAAGAAGCCCTCCTGGATCCCAGCCCACCACTCAGAATTCCAACATCAGCCCCACCCCACATGGTGGCAGCTTCCCCGCTACACATCCTGCCACTAGCCAGCTGCTAATCCATTTACGCCCCTTCCTGTCTCTTAGGTCTCTTGGCTGCGGCCTCCCCTAACCCCAGACTAGAATACAGCCCACCAGTGCCCCTGCTTCCAGTGGCCTTTCCTGGAAGTCACAGGATCTGTCTCAAGCACACCTTCAAGAGAACTGCCTGACTTAGAACCCTCAATGGCTCCCTACTACCCCTGGGATCCAGCCCAACATCTGTGGCCCGTCACAACCCCTTGCCAACTCCTCCGCCAGGCATGCTTCCCCACACGTCCCCTGTCTGTCTCCTCACACTTTTCCTCACTTTGGGGTCACCTCCCCGGAATTCTGCTCTCCAGTGGAGCCGCCCACCCCATCACAGGGATCAAAGCACCTGTGCTTTTCCATGGAGCACAGAGTCAGACTGGTCGCTCTCCCCTGCCTTGTGGTACCCAGTACAGAGTCAGCATACAGCAAAAGGCACTTGGGAAACTGAAGGAGGCAGGCAAAACTAGAGAGATCTTCATCCAGCAACATACCCCTCCCCTAGAGGGGACCCTAGGCGCCACCTCCGAGGGACCCAGGAGCCAGGCCTGGTAGATGCCACACAAGTCACGTGCCCAGGCCAACCAGCACGTGCCCTGGGAAGGGTTGCTCCTTTAGCTCCTATACCTTGCATTAGAGACAGGACACTCACAATCACCTGAATCCCCAAGGAGGAGCTGCGGAGGAGGGAGGCGAGGTCAGAGCAGGGTGAACAGGTCAGGCCGAGGGCACCTAGACCTGGACGCCAGCCCCAGGCCTGGCCAGGTGTGTGAGCTCGGAAAGTCACCTCCTGACATGAGGCTCTTTTGTCACCTGTGCTATGGTAGCTACACTACTACAGCCTCAGGTGATGAAGTTGCAACAGTGTAGTACTTAGCACAGTACTGAGAACACAGTGAATGCCCATAATGTTATGTAAGTCATAGTGTTTTGCTTTGTTTTGTTTTTTTTCAGACAGGGTCTCACTATGTTCAGGCTGCCCTGGAACTTCCTATGTAGAACCCACACAGTGCTCCTGCCCCAGCATCCCAAGTGCTGGGACTACAGGTATGCACCACACCTGGCTGGGTGTCATGTTATCATTATTGTTATCATTACTAATATTACTTCTATATACTAGATTAAAAAATCGAGGTTCTCAGCAGCAGAAGGACTGGGCTCACCCAAACTATACTAGGAGTTGGCAATAGAATAAAACAAATGTACACGTCCCAGGCCAGGGCCCAGCCCTTCCAGTGTCCCGCCTGGAAGGCCAAGGAAGAAGAGCCTACTTACTGCAAAGCGAGCCTTTCCACACCCACTATCTGCCCACCCAGCCAGCAGGCACAAACTATCCCCTTACCTGTTGAGATTCTGGGGCCAACCAAGGCTCAGGTTGCTGAGATGTCTGGAAAGGGAGGCAGTGGGGAAGGAGGAGGTGGCTCCAGCCCCACTATATCCGAGCACAGTTGCTTCAGGCCCTGCAGGAGAGGAAAGGACCATGAGTTCCAGGCTCTGACCTGAGGGCAGCCCCTCCCCTCCACTGACTTCCAAGTGCCACCAGCCCGGGTCCCTCTGGATTGGCCATCTGGACAATCGAGCTGGGAATGTGGGTGCTGCCCTCCTGCCTCCTGAACTTCCCCTTCAGGTCCTGGAACCAGCCCCGGTGACCTCCAAAGTGCCATGGGACAGCAGCAGATGACACTACACCCACTATGGTGCCCCATCGGCCCCGCCTCCTGATGTCAGCCTTGGCACAGGCTGGGTCCCTGACCATGACTCTTTGACCCCACCTCTCTGATTCCAAGGCCCCTTGGCCCCAGCTCAAAAGCTTCTACGTCTGATGAAAGTGGCTGCCATCCCACCCAACTGAAGCCGCTGTCCCTGCACACTTTATTTGCAAGAAAATGGCAAATGGGCCTGGGATATTGGACCAGGACTAAGTCCCAACAATCCGGGGTGCTTTTAAATCCATAAGCCACGGAGGCCTCCAAAGTACTGTGTCCTTCCTGCTGCTAGAGGGCAGGCCTCGGGGTCAGCCAGTGAGAGGACAAATGCTCCCATTTCACAAGCAGGAGGACTGAGGGCTGGATGGCAGAAGGGCTCCTCCCACGGTGCCCCGGCAGGCAGGAGAGGCAAGGCCAGGTCTCTTGGCTGCTGCCATCTCCCCGCAACGCCTGTGTGCACAGACGCCTGACTCCCCTCACTGGTGCGGGACCCCCAGCCATGGAAGGTAGCTCCAGGGTGACGGAGAGAAAGCGACAAGAGGTCCCTGTGGTGGAAAAAGGTGCAGGAAGAAAGACAACACTCAGAAGAGAGCTGCCTGGTTTTAGGGCTCTGCTGCCCCCAGCAAGGAGGCCTGAGGCTTAGGCGGCAGAGGGGACATCACTAGGAGCCCCAGCAGAGTCTCAGCAGATACAGGTCCTGGAAGAGTCCCAGAAGCACTCTGCCTTACAGCCCCCAACTGAACCAGGAGTGGCGGTGCATGCCAGCAATCCCAACACTTCAGAGGCTGAGGCAGCAGAATCATAGGGAGTTCAAATCCAGCCTGAGCTACACAGTGAGTTCAAGGCCAGCTGGAACTACAAAGCAAGACCTTGTCTCAAAGAAAGCAAAACGGGGGTCTTCTCACATGGCCACAGACCTTTGAGTGGGTGAGCCAGTGTGCCCACACAATGAGTTACCCCCCACACACCCCCGCATTTAGAATGAGCAGGGTGCAGCTTCAACCAGAACACATACATCTCACAAGTACCACACTGATCTTAGAAGCCAGATGCAGTGGCGAGTACCCTTTTGAGATCCATTAGCATCAAGGTCAGGAAGAGGAAGATCAAGTCCACACCGGAAGCTAGCTAAACAGTGTCAGAGCACCTCCGTAGCTCCCCCCACCAAGAGGCGGGGTATATCCTCCGCCCCTAAACCTGGGCGGGCACACACACACACACACACACACACACACGCGCGCGCGCGCAGAGAGAGAGAGAGAGAGAGAGAGAGAGAGAGAAACGGCGGGCACACACCCACACACACACACACACACGCGCGCGCGCTCAGAGAGAGAGAGAGAGAGAGAGAGAGAGAGGAAACCTCAAGGGTCCTGCTGCTCCTGGCACTAACTCTTGGAATTCTTTGGAATTCTGCCACAGGAGGAAGCAGTCTAATTTATGTGAGGTAAATTGAGTCCCAGCCCAACAGCAGCACCACTATCGGGGTGACGGAGACCATCTTTGACCTTCAGGTGAAGCTGACAGTCCAGGTGACTGGAGCTGAGGGGGACGAGGAGGGGACACAGCCACACCACTGGACAGTGAGTTTCTAAGTAGTGGTTGTTTTAGGCCAGTCTGGAGTGGTTTTGGGGCAGAGACACATGGTGAGAGCAGGCTGCCGGAAGGCGGGACAGGCTTCTCAAGAGGGAGGTCCCTGGAGGCACATGGGAGACGGCCAGAGGGCTGGATGTTCTACTCCTGGACAGCACAGCGGTGACTCACACAACTATGCTCACTTCCAGACAATCTGTCGAGCCACACATAAAGGAGCTGACACTTCTCTGCACAAATTTAACAATCTAGTAGTAGTGAAAAGCAAACACATCCTGAGGCCCCCCATCCAAGAGTGGGAGGTCCAACCCCAGCCTGGTCAGGAAGCCCCTCCTCTGGGAAGCCCACCCTGACTGCCCCAGCTTGTGCGGGCTGGGCCTGTCTGAGGGTGCGGTTCTGCCTGGTTGTTCTGGTTCCCCAGCCCTTGGAACTCTCCAAGCACCCCACTTCCTCTTCCCCAAGGTGGAGACCCCTAGCCTGTGCGGACCAGAGCAGTTTCTGGGGATTAGGGACACAGGGGTCTGGTGATCCCAAGGTGAGTCACAAATCAGCACCAGACAGAGCAACAAACCCCAGCTGGCTGTCCCCAGCCATCTGAGTAATCTGTTTATAGTCTCTGCTGGGTCCTTGTTTTTTCTCTCCCATGGTGGGGACTGAGCCCCAATAGGCCAAGGCCCCAGGGCCTCTTCCTGGCTTCCTCAGGGACCCTGCTATACCAGCAAAGGTGCCAGCCAGGAGCAGGCTAATAGGGCCACACTGGTCCACGGCACCTGTCCCCTGGCCCTGGCCTCAGGCACCCTTTGCTAAGAAAGGAAGCTCCCTCCCAGCAAGGAGGCACAAAGCCAGACAGTGGCCTAGTCCTTAGAGAGAGGTGACCGTGGGCACGCAGGACAGCCAAGAAGGTCACAGCCCAGCTTCCGAAGGAATTCTAGAATGGAGTGCTTGATGCGCTGTGGTTGGAGGGGTGAGCATCCTGTCCCCAGAGGTATGCAAGAAGAGAAGTGGCCACATGGGGCTGTGGATGCTGTGAGGCTGAGGGCATCAGGAAGGAGCTCCCCTCCTGCTAAGAGTCACCTGGGCTGGTGGTTAAGCACACAGTGGTCCAGCCCACCCTCCACCCTTAGGACGAAGCCTGTGGGTCTGGAAGACAGCCCAGAAATTTACATTGTGAACAAGTCTTCCCAGGTGATCCCCGCGCCATCGAAGGTTTGAGGGTGGGGAAGGTGCTGGGAGATGACCTTCCAGGTCCCGCTGGGCCCAGAGATGAGTGATTCTCAGTCTCCCCATTCATCCCATCCAAACCCCACCGGAAGACACTGGCCGCCCCACATCATTAAAATAAAAATGGTTTAAAAGCTGGGGAGGGGGCTTCTCATCCCATGATGACAGCAGCCCAGCTCCTTCCTAGGCCCTCAGATCCCCCCAGAGCCATCCAGAAAGGCGCAGCATTGTGGGAGGGGGTGACAACTGCTGAGCTGCTGCTCCGGAGGCCCCGGAAAGCAATTATCTTGCTCTTAGCAGAGAGGCGCTGGCTCTTACAGCCCTTCCCTCCCCTCTTCTCCCTCTCGCTTGCTCGCACCCGCGCTCGCTCTCTCTCTCTCTCTCTCTCACACACACACACACACACACACACACACACACAGAGGAACTCTCTCTCTCTCTCCCTCTCACACACACACACACACACACACACACACACACACACACACACAGAGGAGCAATCACGCTCACCCAGGCCAAAGCCCCGTGGCTGGCTGTGCACCCCCTCCCCAGCCTCCCGAGCTCCCCGACTTGCTCAGCCTCTGTCCTCAGAGCACAGTTCCAACGCTTAAATCATTTAGCCCGCTAAACCAGAGACGGCAAAATGGGTGCTATTTCTTAAAAACATACAGAGAGCGTATTAAATTATTGATAGCCATTAAACAGGGGGAAAAAATTAAACAGCTCTCAGCTCTTATCAATCATTCATGCAGTTTCCACTGGGGTGTTTTCTGGGGCTGGCTCCTGCCAGCAGAGAAGGAAAAGGCATGTGGCAGCATGGCTGGATGCAGGCGGGGAGGGGGCGCTCCAGCCCCCACGAAGACCCTCTGGAGGGGAAGGGCAGAGCAGGAGGTCAGCTCTCCACTGCGAGCTCCGCCTCCCCTCTTCGCCACATCATTAACCAAGGGAGACTCCAAGGCTACCTTCAGGAACCCCCTTAATTAAATCCAGCCTGCTTTTATTAGGCACCTACTATTATACATCAGCCTGCAGGATGCACGGATAATGGAGCCCCCAGGTCTCTTCCCAGGCAGGCGGAGGGGGGGGGTCCTTTGCAGGAAGGAGTGATGATGCCACAGAGGTCCACAGAGAGGAGGCTCAGGAAAAGGGGGCCCCTTGGGCCAGAGGAGAGCTGCCAAGCAAGACTGCCGAAGAAGTGATTCCTGGGTGAATTTCGTGGATGGGGAGCAGAAAACCACCCAGAGAACAGGGCGGGAATGGTATTGCAATGGGGCTCGGGCCCAGGCCAGGTGGGTAAACCAGCAGAGCTGGGCGTGGGCCAGCACCCCTCTTGTCACAGCCCTGCGCATCCTGGACAGCGGCTTCTGGCAGGCAGGGAGGGAGACCTGGGTAGAGCCAGTGGAGAGCAGGGCAGCCCGTGACCTGCAGCAATGATCAGATCCAGGCCAGACCGGGGAGGGACACACGAGGCCAGCACCCCGAGCTGTGGACAGGCAGGAGGTTGGCGTTCACCCCAGCTGCCTGGGGCAGCAGCACCTCCACCTCCACAGGGCAGATCCATTTCCTGGCTCTGACTCAAGACACCTAAGCCAGGGTGACACCGGCCCCAGGGGCTGCAGGGCCAAGGCTCCGCTTCTCTGCACACAGACAAGCCTGGCAGAGCTACCTCGGGAGCCAGGCTCCCTCCTGCTGCGGAGCCGAGCAGTGCCGAGGACCCAGGCTCCAGGCCTGTGGGAGCCAGCCGACACCTGATGACCCCTGCCTCACCAGCTGAGGGCCATCCACAAGCAGAGGCCATATGAGGCTCCGAGGCACGGATGCAGTGGGAACAAAGAGGCTGGGCACTGCTGCCTTCTCCCTGCCTGGCACAGCGCACCATGGGCTCTGCATTCTTGAATGCCTTTCAGGAGCTCTCACTCACTGGAGCCAGAGAAGGAGAG